TATATGGCTGGAATGTTAAGCATTAATTCCAATGGTACAGTGATAGGACATGTTAGGAAAAGCCCTGTGGCTGCAGAGTAGCGAGGGACCTGGAGGTGAGCAAGATGCAGGTGGAAAGAGCAGTGGCTGCTAAGTCTACAAATACTCAGATAATACGGGAAGGGAACCAAAAGCAGGGTTTGAAAGAGTATTCCTGTCAGTTCTGCTTAGAGAAATCAAACAAAGCCTCCTAGGAGATGAGGCAGAGGTAGGTCTTAAAGGATAGGAAGGAATATAATAGCATCTTGTTACCATTGTTTTGTTTTGTTTTCATGTTCAGATTAAACTATAGCCCTAAATTCTAAAAATAAGGTAGGGAAACTATCTTTAAAAGATTCTTGAAAAGATCTCTTCATTTAAACCTACTTTCACTGAAACTACTCCTTCAGCGTTAGTGCCTGAAAGGGCTTTCTCAACAGCCTTCTTTACCTTTTTATAATATCAGCAACATATCCAGCATCTAAACCACTGTACATACACTGTGATCACTCTAAACCCCTTAACTCTAGCTCAGACCTCTCTCCTGGTCTTTATAGCCATCTAATGTCCCACAGGCACCTCAAAGTCACAGTTCCTCTCTATTTGGTTATTTGCTATATTCCTACCAGGAAACCTAATATGGCAGGTCAAAAATAATGTTAGTTTGTTTATGGAAAATTTAGATATCCTCTCCTTTGAAGTTCCTGTTCAAGTCTGTTGCCAATGTTTCTACTGGGCAATCTGTTAGTTCCCTCTTTTTAAGAATTTTATTGGTTAATTTAACTGGGTATATCTCCCACCAGATCAGGGAGGTATTATATATCTCTCGCTTCTTTGTAAGTCTGACATTAAGCACAATACTGACACAAAGGTAAGTGTGCCAAAATCTATAAGAACGAGGTATTCATAAAATAATGCTAACAAAAAATTCATAAATAACTGCAAGATTGTGAAATGTGGGTCTGAAACAGTAGTCTTAAAATTGGGAGAGAAAAAGTGGGTAGAAAGTTGGCCTCTTCAGAAGCACCATAATAAGTTAATGTAAAACAGAATCCCGAAAAGTATACTTATAATTACACATACAAAAGACCATTTCTTAAAATTACATGATTATGAAAAGCAACAATGTCATTTGACTTTCAGAAAATTATTTTCAGGGTATATTTTATAACACTTAAAAAATATTTTAAATTGAGTTTTACATAGTAAGTTCTTTTTAACACTATCCCTTTATACCCTGCGAAATAGAATGCACTTCACCATAGCAACAGTTCTATATCAACTCCTACTCAAGTTAGAAAAAGCATATGTAAAAGAATCGAATATTCTGGACTATTCTGAGGTGCTTGCTGGAATAAATCACTCCATTTGTTTGGTAAAAATTTAAATATAAGAGTTCAATGTTTCCTTAAAACATTCCTGTTATTAGGCAGAAGGCTATTTTACTTTCTTAAAAATTGCTTTATTATGTAGCATAGTACATTATTTAAAAGAATGCTGGAAAAGAGGGAAAAAAGAAACAAAAAAATCAAGGTCAAGGATAACATGCTTGGAATCCAGCTGGTTAGTGTGCTGGGAGATAGGAACAGGAACAGGAAATGATGTTTAAGTGATTTATAAGTAAAATATAAACCAAGATACTACATGTTACAACCATATTACTTTCTCACAAAAAGCTATATCCTACTGGTATTATGGGAACTGAAAATTTTTATGTTCACATAATCTTTTAAAAGACAATAAAAGCATTAGTACGTATTAACTTGGTTTGATAAATTAAGTAATTTACAAATTCCCTAGTGAGAATGAACAAGGTTACAAACATTGGAGATTGGGTTATATACTACCAAAAGTCTTTGTATGATATCTACATGTAACATTAAACTAGATGTAATTCAAAGCATTTCCTTTCACGTACCACCATTGTGGCTAGCCAAATTCACCATGCACATATCTTTATCATCTTTGCTCACAGCCCAAGATGGCTGTTACATTCCCAACTCCCTTAATGTTCTGGGCTTCCTTTCCCTGACCCAATTTCCAACCACTCTTCTACATTTCGATTCTGCCACTGTCCTCTGAAAAATTCCTACTTACTTCTATGTTTCTAACCTCCACGATGAACATTTCTTCACACACTGGCTGTTATTTCCCTGCAGTCCTCTGATTTGGAGGCTGAGCTTTTGCCACATCCTACCATAAGTATCAAGGTTCGGAGGCTCTCCTATGTCTGCTTCATCAGGGATTTCCCATCTCTACCTGTGCTCAGTGCGGCCATCTACAGACCTCCAGGCCACCAGTCTCCATCCCTTGGAATCTCTGATACCTGAACAACCTTCATCTTCCGCTACAAATCCTGCTGTTATCTTAGATGATTTCCACATTCACATGGATGATTCTTTCCCAAACTCTTTCCTTGATCTCCTCATTGCAAAGATCTCCACTTCTGCTATTCTCCTTCCACGGCCATACCTAGGATCTTGCCATCACTCAGAAGAACACGACCTCCGACATCTGTCAGGCATTTCATTCTCTGATAGGACCTCTCTCACTTAACTACGCCCTACATATTAATTCTTTGATCTCATCACCAGATTAATTTTATTCTATGTTGACAAAGACTCTCTTCTTGACCAAACTCCTGTCAGGTTCCTCCGAGTCCTCTTCTTGATTAGGCCTCAAACTTGCCCTATAAAAACTGCACCCTCTCAGCACAAATCATTTCATTTACCCTCCCCACTAAGAGACCAGAACAGTTTCTAACAGCTCAAGGCCACAATCTTAGGATGACCGTAGTTCTCCTTAAAGTGCCTGCCTGAGAAAGCGCAACGCTGCCAGGAGACTTTCCTGTGTGTTCCAGTCAAAAACTTGGTAATAGGAGGGTAGGCCTCTGAACCTCCTCTGAGAGCAGTTATTTCAGAAAGTTTGCAATTATAAATCCTTTCTCTGCCCCTTTGAGATATAAATCTTCTCCCACCTAGAAGTGAGTTTTCAAGGACTTAAGAACCATCTCCTTAAAATGCAAACATTAGAGGAGATAACTCTCCCTCTCCTTCCTGGTCCCAGTGGGAAGGTTTAAGCACCAGTTATCAGTAAACCCTGACAGATTTCACATTAATCAATGGTCTTTCCTGCTTCTTATGTTTTCATTTCCCTGAAACTGCTCAAGCCACCCGCCTAGTCACCACCCCCATTCTCCCCCCTTATTCCCTCATTCTCTCTTTAAAATGCCCAGTCACTCCAAGAAAAAGCCAAAGAAGTTCATCACCATCAAACCAGTATTACAAGGAATGTTCGAGAAACTTAAGACAAAAAAGATAAAAAATATGAATAAAATGACAATAACTACATATCTATCCAAAATTACTTTCAAAGCAAATGGATTAAATGCTCCAACCAAAACATAGGGTGGATGAATGGATAAGAAAACAAAACCCTAACAGATGCTGCCTACAAGAGACTCACTTCACATTAAAAGACAAACACAGACTGAAAATAAAGGGGATGGACAAAGATATTCATTGATAATGGAAACAAACAAACAAAAAACCTGAGGTAGCAATACTTATCCCAGACAAAATAGATCTTAAAACAAAGGCTACAAGAGACAAAGAAGGACCCAGTAATCCCACTCTTGGGTATTTATCTGAAGAAACTCAAAACACTACTTCTAGCAGACATGTGCATCCATATACTCATTGCAGCATTGTTTACAATAGCCAAGATGTGGAGGCAGCCTGGGTGTCTGTCAATGGAAGAATGGATAAAGAGGAGGTGGTACATATATACAATGGATTATTGCTTGGCCATGGAAGTAAATGGGTTTTTGCCATCTGTGGTGGCATGGATGGACCTAGAGGGTATTGTGCTGAGTGGCGTATGTCAGACAGAGAAAAGACGGATGCAATGTGATTTCACTTATATGGGGAATCTAAAGAACAAACAAAACAGAAACTCATAGATACTGAGAACATTTTGATGTTGCCAGATGTGAGGGGGGTTAGGAGGTGAGTGTTAAAGGTGAAGGGATTAAGAAGTACAAATTGATAGCTACAAAATAGTCATGAGATGTAAAGTAAAACATATAGAATATAGTCAATAATATGGTAATAACTATGTCTAGTGCCAGGGCGGTACTAGACTAGTCAGGAAATCACTTCTTAAATTATATAAATGTCTAACCACTATAAAGTACACCTAACGTCATGTACAACATAGGGAATATTGTCAATAATATTGTGATAGCATAGCACAGTGTCAGATAGTTGCTGGACTTATCATGGTGATCACTTCTTTAGATATATAAATGTTGAATAACTATGATGTACACCTGAAACTAATATAATATTGTATATTAGTTATATTTTTATTAAAAAATCTTTAAAAACATAATAATAATAAAATGCCCAGTCACTGTGCACAAATTGAAAATGAGTTCAGTTCATGCTGGACTCTTTACCCAACTGAATAAAACTACCCTTAATGCTTTAATTAGCATATGATTTTGTTTATCTTTGACAACATAACTCTACCATAACACACATATACACACACACACACACATACCCTCCCACAAGTTCACATTTTTCCCCAGCTTCAGTCACTCTCTTGCTAGTACAGTAGTATCCCCTTATCTGCCATTTCACTTTCCAGAGTTTTAGCTACCGTGGTCAACAGAGGTCTGAAAATATTAAATGGGAAATTCTAGAAAAAAACAATTTATAAGTGGTAAGTTGCACAACATTCTGAATTTGGTAATATAATCTCTTGCCACCCTGCGCCAGCCTGCCCTGGACATGAATCATTCTGAGCTATATGGGAATAGCTTGTCTTCTCTGCTAGACTGAAAGCTCTCTGCGGGTAGGAAATATTTCTGTCTTGCTTACCACTCTCTGTCCTAATACTTGCTTCACTGCCTGGGGTTAAATAGGCAGTGATAAATGAATGAATATTTAGGATCATTAATGTTCTGTTAGAGAACTCTAGCCCACATGACAAAAATTCTCATCAATGAAATCAGCCGAAGCATCTCTGATTCTTTCACAGAACATCTGAATGTACTGGAACACAAAACAATGCATACATCACAATACACTAATAGGAATTTGCAAAATCACAGTATAATTCTACCCCATTAGCATTTGTGGGCATTTATAAATATAAAACATTTTTACTAGGTTACCTAGGATAACTAATTAAGATTAATCCTTTAGCTGATAAATCTTTTCCTCTATAGATCATCTTTCATTAGAAACAGCACCAACTCCATATTTGGCAGTAAATATAAAACTATAGCAAAGGATTAGTCCATTTAAAGCCAAAATTAAAACTTGGGTAAATTTTAAAAACATTATTTGGTATTTAAAAGTTTGTGATCAAAGTTATCCCCTTTAAATTATTTTTTGGTATAATGTACTACTTACTGATAAATTTGTACTATTGGGAACATACTGGTCCTGTTCTCCAAGTAACACGTCAATCACAGGATGCCGGCCATTTTTTATTACGATTTTCCTTTCTTCTTGTACGGTTGGTCTGTAAAAAACAAGCATGTTTTAACTTATAGGCTTGGAAACAGCATTTTAAAAAATCTTTAAGATAGCATGGAACATTTCTGTGGCCTGCCTGTCAAACAACAAAATCTTAAATATGGACTTTAGGTACATATATCCAGATTAAGGCTTTGAGTATAAAAGTTAAATTTTAATTATAAAATAAGAATTGGGAAGACAATTATAATAATAGTGCTCTGAAGCACAAACTTTAGCAAATTCTTGCTATGGCTCCACTACTGAGATCTACCTTTAAAAGATCCTTTTTATTTTTTATATTTCTATGATTCTCTAAGATATTTTCATTAATAAAAATTATAGTTCAGATTATTGCTACTTAAATCATTTTCAGTAATAAGCATAATAAAGAAAATCATGTAATATTATTTCTACATTTAATTGTTACATTACTATAAATCATGTGTTGGACTTGGGGACATCCTGTCTTAAAATTTTCATATTCTGTTTATTTAAAACATCTTTATGGTCTTTGGTATTTTTTGGTACTTTAAAAAAAATTTTTTTATTATATTTATTGGGGTGACATTGGTTAGTAAAATTATACAGGTTTCAAGTGTACATTTCTGTAATACATCATCTATATATCGCATTGTGTGTTCACAACACAGAGTCAGTTCTCCTTCCATCACCATATATTTGACCCCCTTTTTCGACTCCCACCACCCCTTCTCCCCCTTAACCCTCTGGTAACCAATGAATTGTTGTCTGTGTCTATGAGTTTTTGTTTGTCTTATTCATTTGTTGCTTTCAGTTTTATATCCCACATGTGATTGAAGTCATATGGTTCTTGACTTTTTCTATCTGACTTATTTCACTTAAGATGATCATTTCAAGACCCATCCATGTTGTCACAAATGGCAGTATTTCATCTTTTCTTATGGCTGAGTAATATTCCATTGTATGAGATGTGATTTAAAAATTCAGTGAATGTTTAAATAAAAAAAAAATTATGGGCCGGCGGAGTGGCTCAGTTGGTTAAGAGTGCAAGCTCTGAGCAACAGAGTCGCCGGTTCGATTCCCACATGGGCCAGTGAGCTGTGTCCGAGCTGAGCTGCCACTGAGCTGTCAACAGGTAGCAGAGTGGCTCAGCTGGTGAGCGCATGTGCTCCTAACAACAAGGTTGCTGGTTCGACTGCCACATGGGATGATGGGCTACACACACCCACAACTAAGATTGAACATGGCACCTTGAGCTGAGCTGCCCTGAGCTGCCCATAGGCAACCAGATGGCGACTGGACTTGGAGCTGAGCTAGCTGTGCTCTCCACAACTAAGATTGAAGGACAACAACTTGGCTGTTCCCCTTCCCCAATTCCCCAACACTGTTCGCCCTCCGCAATTCCCCAATAAAATCTTTAAAAAAAACCTGAGGATCAGAAATGTTAATTTGCTTAACATCAGCTATTAAAAAACCAAGCTACCATTCAAAAACCCATGCCTGTCTGAAACAAAGTCTACACACTGAAAAACATACCTAAAAGAAAGATTCAGATTTTACTTATGCAAATCAAGGGGTCAATTTATTTATATATTTATATATAAATATATACATATATATATATAGTTGTCGGAAAAGTCATGACGCATTTTTGCAATGAAAAACAGAAAAAATACGTCTGACTTTTCCAACAATCATATATCACAAGGAAGATGCCAAAAGAACAAGGAGAAGCATCAAACTGAAAAATCTGGGACCAAACTTGCATATAGTAGATGCTCTAAAACTGTTTGTTAATTTTCTGATGGGTCTAGGAATTGATCACATAGTTTTACAGTGATGTAACAAGGAATATAGTTTTACTCCTCAGATGAGACTTTTTGCCAAAACTACATCTCAATAAAGAATTTCTACAACTTTTAAGATTTATCCCATTTACTAATTCATAACTTTTCTTCTTACAACTTTATATAAGGATACCTAAGACTTAAATAAGAGTACACGGCTAGTTAGTGACAAAAATCAATCAATGGTATATTGCCCGTTTTGTTTGATAACCTTTTGCCGTCTTTCAGTGAGCTTCATAATTCCTCATTCATAGAAGGACTTGTCTTTATTTGTGAAAAACTGAACAAGGTGCTGATTTACAGCCTCATCTCAATAAAACGTTATAACATGCAAGGAGTTTTGAAGAGAGCAAAACAAGTGGAAGTCTGATGGTGCAAGGTCAGGCGAGTATGGTGGGCGTGGCAACACATCCCATCCAAGCTCCAATAATTTTTGACGGGTGATCAAACTTGTGTGAGGTCTCGCATTGTCTCGATGGAACACAACTCCTTTACAATTAACAAGCTCTGGATGTTTCTGGATGATGGGTTCATTCAAACTGTCCAATTGTCAACAGTACACATTCTAATCGATTTGGTTCCTTGGTAGGAGCTCAAAAAACACGACACCTTTAAAATCTCACCACACTGAGAGCATAACCTTCCTCTGATGAATGTCTGCTTTCGATGTCATTTGAGGTGAATCATCACGTCGGGACCAAGACCATTTGTGCACCACATTGTTGTAAACAATCCACTTCTCATCACCAGTTATCAGTCGCTTCAAAAAAGGATCGTTTTCCTCACATTTAATAAGCATATTGCAGATTTTTATATGCGCCATCAAATGAACTTCTTTGAGTTCATGCGGAACCCAAATATCGAGCTTGGTTATGTATCCCAGTTTCTTCAGGTGGTCATGAACGCTTTAATGATGGATGTTCAATGTTTCTGCAATCTCTCGTGTCGTGTAACGTGGGTTTGACTCAATCAATGCCTTTATTCTGTCATCGTCAACTTCAGTGGGCCTCCCTGACCGAGAAGCACCATTGAGATCAAAATCACCAGCATAGAATTTCATGAACCATAGTTGGCACTGACGTGCTTGTGGAGCATTGTTACCGTCAACTTTATGCAACCATTCACAAGCTTGACACACGTTCTTCCCTTTACAGAAGTAAAACAGTAAAATATGGCAAAAATGCAGTTTAGTCTTCCATCTCCCACTTGTTGTAAAATCT